GCTGCTGAGGAACCTTCCACCCAAGAAATGGAAGAAATCTTGAATATTATAAAAAATAGTGATTTCAAGATAGTAGAGCAACTGAGGCAAACCCCCTCCAAAATCTCTATGTTGTCTTTGTTGCTTTGTTCTGATGCTCATGCCCAAGCTTTAATCAAATTCGTGAAGAAAGCACATGTTCCTCAAGAGAACACAACCGATCAATTTAAAAACTGTATGGCTAGTCTGACTGTCGACAAAGGATTGGGATTCTCTGATGCTGACTTGACACCGGTTGGAAGGAATCATAACAAGGCTTTGCATGTCTCTATTGAATGAGAAGGAACTACTCGGGCCCATGTCTTGGTGGATAAAAGGTCCTCTCTAAATGTCTTACCCAAAGGTGCCTTAGATCGTTTGGATTGCGATGGTTTGGTGTTAAAGACAAGTGACATAGGTGTGAGGGATTTTGATGGATCCAAGAGGATGGTACTTGGAAAGTTGATCTCCTCATTAAAGTTGGTTCACAAGTTTTCAATTCTACTTTCTATGTGATGGACATACGTTCCGATTACTCTTGTTTACTTGGACGCCCTTGGATACATGGGGTAGGAGCAGTGACGTACACCCTTCACCAAAAGTTGAAATATTCAGTCAAAGGAAAGATTGTTACTGTTTGTGGTGAAGAAGAATTCATGGTTAGCCACCTAAATTCGTTCAAATGTGTGGAGATGGATGGTGAGTTCATAGAAACTCCATGCCAAGCTTTCGAAGTGGTTCCTCCCATGGTTGTCGCCACTAAAATCTCTTCTGACACTCCAAAAACTGTTGATGTTGTGCCAAGGATGGTTTCACTTAAGGACGCTCGTGCCGTGATTGAAGATGGAAGTAGTACAAATTGGGGACAACTCCCTGACATTCCTTTCAAAGTAGACAAGTTTGGGTTGGGTTTCACTGTCAAAGCTCAAAAGGAGGTCATACGTGCTCGCATAGGAAAACCACCTTTTCGCATTGGTAATGATGGAGTGAATGCTATTGAAGACTCTGAGGATGACTGCGACTTTGATGAATGGATCTACCTGACTGCCGGAAAAGAGCTCAACAACTAGCGTGCCAAGGATTTCATTCCCATCGCCTTCAGCGAGGAGTAATTATCATTTACTGTTTTGTCAATTCAAGAACTTTTGTTTGTAATTTTATTTCCAAACAATAACTTTAAACCATGTGCCTTTCCCGGGGCACCATGGTCCATTTGTTAAGGGTTTGTCATTTTCATATGCCATATGATCATTTAATCAAAAAAACTTGGACCTTTTGGATTTAAATTTTGCACTCATTGTATTTCTTTTCCTTATTTGCATTTTCAAAATAGCCATGTATCTTACATGCACACACACACACACATACACACACACACACACACACACACACACACACACACACTTGCAGATCCTCATCCACTCCGGATCTCGTCAACAACTCTGTTATTTCCAGCTATAACTCTGAACATCCAATCAACTAAGACGAAGACGAAGGCGGAGAAGATTGGGAAATACCAGGAGAACTATCCAGACTTATGATACAAGAGGATAAATCCATTCAACCTCATGAAGAGCTAGTTTAAGTAATCAACCTAGGTACTGAGACAGACAAGAGGGAAGTCAAGATTGGCGCCAACTTGGAAGATAGTGTCAAAAGCAGATTGGTCCAGATGTTGCACGGCTATGTTGAGGTGTTTGATTGGTCATATGAAGATATGTCGGAACTTGACACTGACATTATAGTTCATCATCTACCAACAAAGGAAGATTGTCCTCTAGTTAAGCAAAAGGTTCGTCGTACGCGGCCTGACATGTCTGAAAAGATAAAAGCTGAGGTCATGAAGCAATTCAATGCATGTTTCCTGGATGTGACATAATATCCTCAATGGGTGGTGAATGTGGTCCCCGTACCAAAGAAGGATGGAAAGGTTCGTATGTGCGTAGACTATAGATATTTGAATAGGGAAATACCCACATATGATTTCCCACTACCGTATATTGACGTCTTGGTCGATAAAACAGCTCAACACAAAGTCTTCTCTTTCATGGATGGCTTCTCCGACTATAATCAAATCAAGATAGCTCCCGAAGACATGGAGAAGACCATCTTTGTCACACAGTGGGGCACTTTTTATTACAAGGTCATGCCTTTCGGGTTAAAGAATGCAGGGGCAACCTATCAACGAGCTATGGTAGCCCTATTCCATGACATGATCCATCATGAGATAGAAGTCTACATTGATAATATGATTTCAAGGTTGCAATCTGGGGAACAACACCTTGATCATCTTCATAAGTTGTTTGAGAGGTTGAAGAAATATGAGCTAAGGCTGAATCCTAAGAAGTGCACTTTCGGAGTAAGATCTAGAAAACTCTTAGGTTTTGTCGTCATTAGCAAAGGCATTAAAGTTGATCCTGCGAAGGTTAAATCCATACAAAAAATGCCAGCTCCCCACTCTGAGAAGGAAGTCAGAGGTTTCTTGGGTCGGCTTAACTATATTGCTCGATTCATATCTGACCTAACTGCTACTTGTGAGCCAATCTTCAAACTCTTGAAGAAAGATCAAGTAGTCAGATGGAACGACGACTGTCGAGCAGCCTTTGGCAAGATCAAGGAATATTTACAAGAACCTCTAATCCTGATGCCTCCAGTTGAAGGAAGACCCTTGATTATGTATTTGACTGTATTAGAGAATTAAATAGGATATGTGTTGGGACAACATGACGAGTCTGGCCGAAAAGAGTATGCAATATACTGCCTGAGCAAAAAATTTATCGACTATGAAACAAGATATTCACTGCTCGAGAAAACTTGTTGCGCTCTGGCATGGGCTGCTTGCCGACTAAGACAGTATATGTTGACTCACACCACTTTATTGATTACAATGATGGATCCTATCAAGTACATCTTCGAGAAGCCAGCTCTCTCTGGGCGAATAGCTAGATGGCAAATGATCTTAACCGAATATGATATCAAGTATACTACACAAAAAGCCATCAAAGAAATTGTGCTGGAATATCATTTGGCCCATGAAGCTGTTGTTGACTACCAATCCATGAACTTTGAATTCCTAGACGAGAATATCACGCTGATAACTGATTGTTAAAAGCATGGACCGTATGACGGACCTGAACAAGGATCCTGATGGACTATGGTTTTTGATGGGGCTTCCAATGCGTTGGGTAATGGAATTGGTGTTGTGATTATTTCTCCCGAAGGTTTCCATACTATAGCGGTAAAAATTGGAGATCAAGCTATTAATTAACTTGACTCGCAAAAGCAAGAGTCGCCACCGCGCTTTATTAATTCCAAGGGAAAAGGGAAAAGAGAGAAATAAAACCCTTAAATATGCAATGTAAAGTGATACTTAAAAGTAATGAAAATACAATGCATTTTAAAAGGAGATTGAAAGTTCGGGGGTTGATTATGCAATGGGAAGGTATTAGCACCCAATGCATCTTTCACTTGGATTATGTAAATGACAAGGAGATTAAACCAAAAATATAAATATTTCTAAGATTTCACAAAAAAACCAAAGGTGAAGTCACAAAATTAAATCGAAATTATCACAAAATCAAATAACATATATCACGAGAGGAATATCGCGAGGAAATACATTAAAATAAATGACAAAACAATAAATGAAAAATTTATTAATAAAGGATCAATTAAAGAGACAAAGAAAAATCAACTAAGAAAGATATTAACCAAACTAAAATAAAATGTCAAGATTTAACTAAATAAAAAAATAACCTAAACTAATTGATTGAGGTTTATCTAAAACTATGATATAAAAAAACTATTAACTAACTAACAATAAGAAATAATTAACAAAGGTGGTGTGAGAATTAGAAACAGCAAAATGGAGGGTGTATAGAAGAAATCTCGCTTGGCTTATAATTGGTAAGTCAAGGCCCAAATAGTTGTACAGTTTGCTGAAATAAACAACAAAATAAAAAATTTAGAGGAATTCGAAATGGGCCTTAGAGACCCGGCCCAATAACTAAAATGACTTAGAAAAAGACAACCCTAATTGTCTAAAGAGGCCGCTCCACATCAACAGATGTGCTTCCTCTGTTACCATTTTTCACTACTGATCGGTGACAATAAACATGGCTACGTTTATCTCTTTCGATTTCTGTTCAAAACAAGAACATAACTCGGCTCTCTCGACTACTCGATTCTCAAAACTAACCACACCAATAACAGCTTCACTATCAATTCCTATCAACAACAACAAAAACCTCATGCTCTATTTTTTCGGTTCTACTCTCTCTCTCTCTCTATCTCTCTCTCTCTCTCTCTCTCTCTCTCTCTCTCTCTCTTTGTTGGTATGGTTGCAGTAACCAGATCAACGACGAATTCTGCGATTCAACAAAATCCCCAGAATTCGCAAACCGACGCGCCCACGCATCATATCGAGAACCGCTTCTGAATTGCACCACTACCTACAGTCTCCATCGTGGACACGCCCATTCGCATCGCCACTCATAAAGGTACTCTCGTGGTTCTTATTTGTTAGCCTTTAATCAATAGAATTGTTTCTTGGGTTTCTGAGGCCGAGATTGCTAACACAATAGGTTTGTATGTCCGTGTCGTAAAAGGGAGATGTGGTTTGTGTGTGGTTGAGTTGAGAAAAAGGAGGTTTGGGTAAGTAGTCGGCGGTGTTATTCGAGTAATTGAAGGGTGAAGAGAGGACGATAACGAGAAAAACTGTTGATGGTGATGATGTTAGGCAGTTCTGTTGGGATGATTGGGAATTTGTGGTAGCTGAATTGATGGAAAAGGTTGATGATTAGGTTGAATTTGTGGAGGGTGAAGAGGAAATGGAAGAAGGTGTTGATTGAATTTGAAATGGGAGTGAATCCACATTTGAGTGAATATGTGAAGGGTTTTAATGAGGGGAACAACATAGAAGGTAACAAGAAGAGTTTGTATTTTCAGTGTTTCGCATTATAACGTTGTTGTTCTGAAATTAGATGTTGCAGAAGGATAGGAGGCAGAAAATGTTGAATCCTGAACTTGTTAAAGGGCCATGGTCTAAAGAGGAAGATGAAGTGATGATTGAACTGATGAACATAATTGGGCCTAAAAAGTGGTCAACTATCGCTCAACATTTACCTGGGCGTATCAGGAAGCAATGTTGAGAAAGGTGGAATAATCATCTTAATCCTGATATAAACAAAGAAGCACTGACACAAGAAGAGGATTTGGCTTTAATACGTGCTCATCAAATTTATGGGAATAAAAGGGACAGAATTAACGAAGTTTTTGCTTGGAAGGGCAGACAATGCTATTAAAAACCACTGGAATAGTTCAGTCAAAGAGAAATTGGATTCTTACTTGGCATCGTGCTTACATACTCAGCATAATCGTGACAAGAAAAATCATACCAACACCTTGTGTCAGTTTTAAAATAACGGCAACAACATCAATAAAACAAAAAATTAATCTCAAAGTTTCTTTTCACTCTCACAACTTGATAACATCAATTGTTTTGAACCCCAACAGTTTCGAGGCTAACATCAACAAATAATCGATAGAGCAAAAGAAGGAGAAAGAAAATTATCGAGTTGGAGCTCCTCCGACGGGTCTTCAATCTTAGAGGTATGATATTTTTTCTTTACTCTGATTCAATCTTCTTTCTTCATCTACTGTATGTTCAAAATTTAAGATGTCGTGATTTGTAGAAAAATTTGAAATGCAATGTTGCAGGATTTTTGAAATGCAATGTTCAAAGTTTAGTCGTAGGGTATGGTAAGGTTTTGTGATATATTGTTGGCGTGTTCTCAGCTTCCCCTTTTTCTTTACTACCTTCCTATTGTTTTATAGCAGATGGGAGGTGGAATAGGACGGAGTATTTGACTAATGTGGTATGCTGATTTTTACTTTCTGATGTAGGACTTATGTTGCTTACTTGGTACAAGCTTTGGATTGATATGCTTGGCTTTTGAGTGTTTTTGGACAGCAACTATGCAGATTTATGGACAACATTGTAGCAACAGGGTTTTTGTTGTTTTGTGGGCTGCATTTTGACTATTTTTACAGGTTTATAGCAGCTGGTTTTGGACAACAAAGATATGGACACTACAACATGTTGTATACAGGTTTTTGGACTGACCTGTTTGGACTAGTATGCAGGGTTGTTTCTGGTTTGGGGCAGCATCATGGTGGAGCAGAATTTATAGCAGTTTTTAGACTGAATTGTTTGGACTATTTGTTTGTTTTGTTGTTGCAGGTTATGTGGAGGCAGCAACAGGTTTTTTTGAGATTTGAGGAAGCAGTATACATGATGTTGGTTTGGCATATGATGCAAGACTTTTGGCACAAGTGATTTTGAATATTTGAAACAAAGTGTTCAGGCCTTTAGTATAGGATTAGAATTTAGGATTTGGTTCCATGTTCTTGTAACAAACTTTGAAATGTATCTTGAAATTGTTTCTTTGTAACATAACTTGATGGAGCTTGAAGTTTGTTTGAAAACTTGGATGATGAACATTGAATTAGAATTGAACCTTTGAGTTTTGAGTAAACTCTATCGGATATGAAATACTTGATACAAGCCACTTATTGAAAAGAACCTTGAATTTGAAATGATGATGAATTGAATGATATACAGTTTAAAATTGTCCACATGAATGAAGTTTGATTTTGAAAGCTAATAGTCCAATCGTGATTAGCTTGAAATTCTTAAAATGATGAATGCAGTTGAAACTTTGAATCACTTTGAAACTAAATTCATTTATCGAGTGAACCTTCATATCATCTCTGATGAGAACCTAATTCAAACCTTCAATTCAATGGTAACTTGAGATACAAGCGCAAAGTACTTGAAAGAACAAATAATTCCTTAAGAACATTGGTAAAAAATCCACTCTAATCCAATAATCCCCAATGCTTCAAACACCAATTACTTGAACTAATCAACAAACTATCCAAGAATCCCCGCACTCAACATTTTGTACCATGAACGATCTCAACATAAAAACAAATGTCTTGAGGAAACGATTAGGGCATAAACTGAATTTAGGATTTAAGAACATTCCAAATTAAAATGTGACCTATAATGTTCCAACAAATCCTATATCCTTTAAAGCATAATTTGATTATGATATTTGATGAAAACTTGTAAATGAAATCGCTTATGACCTATTGTCTTCTTCCTCGTTTCCCTGTAAAACAAAAACAAGATAGCGGGGGGTTTTTAACCCCCACAACCTAGCATGACCAAAAATAGCGATTAGATGTACAAGCTATATAAATAGGGCGCGAGGGTTGGGTTTGATTCGTCTGGCCTTGACGAATTCAACCATAGGCTTCATTAGTCCTAATTTTGCTTGGTCAAGAAAGCCCTAATTCCAGAACTCATAAACCCTAGAACCCTTCAATGGCAACCTGCGATCCTGTACACGTGAAACTGTTCTGGCGTGTTTCTTGAGCTTTAAGGCTTGGTCTTGATTGCAATAGGTTCCTTACACCTCCAGCAACGTATTGGAAACAATAAAAGGCTTTGAATTGTGTTAGAACTTGGAAAACAGATTTCAAGTTTTCTTTGATTTTTTTGAATATGGTTCTGGCTTTTGACAGCAGCTCTCCCATGAATGGAATTAGGTTTGGCTTCAGTATATGTAATGGAATGAAACTAGGGTAAATCTTGCACAAGAAATCCTTTGCATTATGGTTTCAATATTTGATTTTCAATCAAATCTTTTAGCATCTTTTTGATTGAGAAACCTTGCCAAAATTGGATATTCTTGTCTCTTTGATTGGCACACGAAATCTCCAGCTCATATTGGTCATATTTGCTTCATGAAAAGATTGCAAAACCCTATCTTGATATTTTCCTACAATTAAATGAATTAAATGAATTAATAATTAATTAAAAATACAAATAATTAATAAAAATAAGAAAATAATTCAATTTAATCTCAATGGGTCGTGCATAGGCCTTGGACCATGTTTCAAGAAGAAATTTGAGGCCCATTAGCAAAAATGATGTGTTTTGAGCAAAGTTGACTTTTGCAAATTCATAAAAATTTCCCAACTTCTCCAATGCATATCTTGCTCAATTTTGATCCTATGAACATGTTCTTGGACATTTTGGAAAGGTCTTGAAGTCCTATAACCAATGCCTTTGGTCCCATGTCATTTGGATTTACCAATCTCAAGTTATGGTCTTTGACTTAAAGTGCATTTTTGTTGACTTTTGAAATTGACCTATAATGTAGAAATTGATAACTTTTTGTGAGAGCATTTCTTGGACTTGGAATGTGAAGATGAGTTGTAGGAAATGTCATCCCCTGAAAAATGAGAATTGGATGGGATTTTTCTGATGAACCATGAAAAAGTTATGCCTTGGTCAAGTTACAGTTGACTTTTCAGCTGTCCAAAAATAGAAACTTTTGCATCTTGATGATTTTTGAGCCATGCTTGTGGAATCATGATCAAGATTTGATCAAATGATGATTGTGTGCTCAAAATAAGATGTTGACCAAAATTTCTGACTTTTGACTGCCAAATGACCATTTTGCCCCTGTAGTTGATTGTGAACCAAATAGGGCTTTTGATTGTGCAATTTGACCCTATGAGCCATGACACTTGACACGTAGATGCTTGAGGATATGTGTAGGCCTATGGGACTTGATTGAGCCATTGAAAACCTCAAATTCCTTGAGAGAACCAAAATCCTAATTTTGACTGGCTTAGGAGGCAGTTGGACTGTGCAACCCTTGAGTAATCTTGAACCATTTGAAGATGATTCTTGATAAACTTTGAAGAATATGGGAGGGCAAATTTTGGGGTACAACAGTTGCCCCTGTTCAATCTTCTTAGACCTGAGGATGTAGATTGGCTTGCGTGCCTTTCGTGATCCGAAGGTGGAAGATGATTGAACACTAAAGTGCCCAGAAATTTGCACTCGCATAGTGGAGTATCAGCGATGTGATGTCGGGAATGGGCTTACAGATGCCATTTGGAAAGATGATGGATAGGAGGATGGGCTTATAGATTCCATCTGGAGATGTGACAGAATCTTGTCAAGGGATGGGCTTATAGATGCCATCTAGAGATGTAATGGATAGTTGAATCTGAATAAGCAATAGAATGGCTTCCGTGTCTGGAGCATATCTAGTCTGTATCTAATTGCTGACGTCTGAGTAAATAATAGAATGACCGCCGCGTCTGGGGTATATCCATACTGTATCTGAATGAGTGACAGAATGTCATCCGAATCTGGATCGTATCTGGAATGTCTTTTGAATGAATCTGGACTAAACAATAGAATAGCCTCCGGGTCTGGAGCATCCCTAAGTTGTCTTTAGAAGCTTGAATCTGAATAAGCAGTAGAATAACATCCGGGTCAGGAGCATCTCTAAGCTATATCTGAAAGGAACTCTGGAATAAGTATCAGAAAGTCGCCATGCCTGGGTCGCAACTGTACTATATTTAGAAGGGATCTCTGAATAAGCAATAGAATAGCATCCGGATCTGGAGCATCTCTAGGCCATCTCTGGAGAGAAATCTGAATAAGCAGTAGAATAACATCCGGGTCAGGAGCATCTCTAAGCTATATCTGAAAGGAAACCTGAATAAGCAAAAGAATAGCATCCATATCTGGAGCATTTCCAAGCTATCTCCGAAAGGAAACTCTGAATAAGCAAAAGAATAGCGTCCATATATGGAGCATTTCCAAGCTATCTCTGAAAAGAAACTCTGAATAAGCGAAAGAATAGCATCCATGTCTGGAGCATTTCCAAGCTATCTCTGAAAAGAAACTCTGAATAAGCGAAAGAATAGCATCCATGTCTGAAGCATTTCCAAGCTATCTCTGAAAAGAAACTCTGAATAAGCGAAAGAATAGCATCCATGTCTGGAGCATTTCCAAGCTATCTCTGAAAAGAAACTCTGAATAAGCGAAAGAATAGCATCCATGTCTGGAGCATTTCCAAGCTATCTCTGAAAAGAAACTCTGAATAAGCAAAAGAATAGCATTCATATCTGGAGCATTTCCAAGCTATCTCTGAAAAGAAACTCTGAATAAGCGAAAGAATAACATCCATGTCTAGAGCATTTCTAAGCTATCTCTGAAAAGAAGCTCTGAATAAGCAAAAGAATAGCATCCATATCTGGAGCATTTCCAAGCTATCTCTGAAAAGAAACTCTTTAATGTAGATATGCCCTGGCTAGATACAGGTATCGAATCTACAATCAATCGCTCACAGATATGCCCTGGCTAGATACAGGTATCGAATCTGGAACTGGTCGTCTACAGATATGCCCTGGCTAGATACAGGTTTCGAATCTCTAAACTCTTCATGCAGATATGCCCTGGCTAGATACAGGTATCGAATCCACAATTAATCGCTCACAGATATGCCCTGGCTAGATACAGGTATCGAATCTGGAACTGTGACAGTTGATAGTAATCATCTTTGGATTGACCTTTTTCCTGAAAAGGCAAAGTATTAGTTGTATGCAATGTCATGATGTATGAAATGCATGATGCCATGATGTTCTCAAAAATAAATGAGATTGTGTCGTATGCACTTCATCATGTATGTAAATAGGAGGTATGAAATGTGAAATGTCTATGAACGTATTTTCGTCTAGGAAAATAAATCCTTGATGAATGCCGGGAAGCTTGTTGAATCCTGGGCTGATGTTTGAAGAGTAGAATTCTTCGTTTCCGCTGGGGATGATGGTTGCAAGAATAAACCGGTAGGAGAAGATGACTCCGTTGGGGAATAAACTTGTTGGAGAGATTACTCTGCGGGGAACTACTCTGTGGGAAGAGATACTTCACTGAGATTTGATGATAACTCCGCTGGGGATTCTGTTGATGAGCTTTGTTAGGGAATTGATAAATTCCGCTGGGGGGATAGGAAGAACTTCGTCGAGGACGATCTTTCCGTGGTAATTAGCTGAGGATAACCCAGTTATAGGCTCTGGTGGGGAATAACTTTTGAATGTGGCCGGGGACGCGTTCATACTCTGCAGGGGATAAGCTTCCAGAATCTACTGGGGAGAATGATTCAACTCTTCTGGGAAACTTTTGAGACTGTACTGGGGAAGTGGCTCCACTGGGGTGTCTGGTATTCTGCCGGGGAACAATCTTATATTGAGACTACCGGGGATGCTTGCTTAGGAACATCTGTATACTCCACTGGGGGATATTGAGATCTTCTAGGGGTATCCAACTTCCTTAAGGCTGACAGTAGATTAACTCTGCTTGGGGAGAGTGTCGTTGACTTGCTGGAGATGTTGTGCCTTTTCAGGGCTGATTGGGAGACCAACTCTGCTTGGAGAGAGTATTGCTGAAACCTGTCTTACTCTGCG